AAATATGGTTAAAAATAACGTAATTTATTAAAAATAATAGAAGTATTAATAGTAAAAAAAGTTTAAAAATTTTTTTTTTTTATTATAATATTTAATTGTAAATTAATATTATTTAACGTTATTTTAATATTATTTTAAATAAGTATTTATACATTAAAAATAAACTTATAAAATATTTATGGTTTATTTATGATACGATTTTATCGATTTAAGTTATATTATTTTTTATATTAGTTACGTTATATAATCCTAGCTGTAACGTCATATAACCTATGTTTTGTAACGTGCATGTCCAATAAGTTAAAATTATTACAAAGGGCGTACTATAGTTCGATCATTGATCCTTGGTTTTTCATCCCATTTACATAAACAAACGGTTTGGATTTCCCTTACATTAATCATAATAACGTTAGAATTTATTTTTGGAACTTATCTCTTAATAAATCAACTATATGCACCTGTTTATATAATAAACATATCTCATTTATCTTAATATGCTAAAACTAAAATTCGAGGAGCGGGCTTCGCCTTCCGCCTCCCCCCCTTATTAACGCCATAGACGCCACAAAACCCTTAGTCCGTATATTTGTATTTATGGGTTGTGGGGGAGGCGTTCCTCGAACTCTAATCTTAGAGACGTTTGGGGTTTTTAACCGCACCTGATACACATTTAAAAACTTTTAATAAAACTATATTGACAACAACATAATAAACAATAACAACGTTTAAAATACCCTCTATTTTAATCACTCGAAACTAATCCTTTACTTTAACTACCTTCCTATATTTTTTACATATTTATACAATATTGCATTATAATATTGTAAGCCTCGACGTTTAAATAGTCTTAACGCTATATCCACGCACCTGCACCCACGCGTTTATACCCACAACCACCCATAACCACGTTTAAAATACCTTCTATTTTTTAATCCGAAACTATCTATTCAATTGCCCAGACATTTTAACCTTTTTTATATGCTTATACGACATCGCGTTATAATATCGTAAGCCTCAACGTCTAAATAGCTTCAAAACGTTATATTCACGCGCCTGCACCCACGCGCCTATACCCATGCGCCTATACCCACGCGTTTACACCCATAACTATCCACAACCACGTCTAAAATACCTTATATTCTAATCATTCGAGGCTAATCCTTTGCTTTCGCTACCTTCCCGTCTTTTTTACATACTTATACGACATCGCGTTATAATGTTATAAGCTTTAACGTTTATTACAGCTATCGCATTGGTTGCAACCGATACTATAGCTAATCTCGACTTAAAACGCGTACGTTTTATATATAATAACCTATTTAAATGATCGAATTAATACTTATTTCTTATATAAAGACTTTATTTACTTAAAATTAATATTTTCAATTGATTTAATTATTATTATACCAATTAAGGGAAAAATGTCCAAAATCGCCTTAAACTAAAGATTGAAAAATGTTTTCGGAAAGGTATACCGGAGTGTAATTGATTAGAAAAAGGTGTGGCTAAAGGAAGTACTTCCCCCCGAACCATTTTTCCAATTTCTAATTTAAGCTAGCTGAGATAATATCTCATATTATTAGTAATTATCCAGAAGCTTATAGATCGTCAACGCATCGTCATTACAAAAAGCTTATGCGGTATCAATACCAAGGTAGATAAATTACAAGTCAAATTATCCATGTTAATGGCGACACAATGTATAGCGTTGATCTGACCTGTTTGTGTGATAACTTCTAACAGACTACCGACTGACTGATGGTTAATAACCCATGTCCTCTTAAATACATATGTATGTCCTCCTATGTCTCTAATGTCTTCATACTGTGTAATTATAACCCCGCTACTGCATCTTCTACAGTCCCAATAGGGTTTATCTACTGTAAAATACATCTATCGGAAGGAGGGGCAAACCCGCAACCCCTCCAATTTCGTTCCAATTTTAAAATGGAGATCGCTGTTGACCGCCGCATCCCCAAAAGTCGCGACTCTATCGCATATCTATCGCACATCTTCTTCTCCTCCCCCCCTCTATAAACAGGTGCCCCTCTATAAGCCTCGATTTGTATTGTGGTTCGTATCCTCTATCCTTTTCATCCCATCAATTGGTCTGTTCAACTTTTAAAGATGGCTGTAGGAACTGTTCTGATTACCGGGTAAGTCAAGTTTATTTTGAACCTATTCGTATACCTCTTCGCTCTTTTCGCGCCGCTCCTTTATAATTATTACATCCTAGAACAAAGACAAGTCGTCAATTAAGTTATATGTTTATGCTAATAAACATGCGCAAATAGTGGTACCGGCTACATTGGATCTTTCACCACGCTTGCCTTGCTTGAGCATGGTTATGAAGTCATCATTGTAGACAACCTATACAATTCGTCCGAGGTTGCTCTCGACCGCATCGAGCTCATTTCCGGCAAGAGGCCAACTTTCTACAAAGTTGACCTAACAGAGCAAGATGAGCTCGACAAAGTCTTTGCTGCTCATCCCCAAATCGACAGCGTTATTCACTTTGCCGCGCTCAAGGCAAGCTCGCCAACTCTCCATCGCCTATGCCATGTCGCTGACTTACGAACCAGGCTGTCGGCGAATCTGCCGAGATCCCTCTCGAGTATTACCGCGTAAACGTTGGTGGTACTATCTCCCTCTTGGGTTCCATGAAGAAGCATGATGTTACCAACATAGTGTTTTCCTCCTCAGCAACGGTCTACGGTGACGCGACTCGTTTCGAGAACATGATTCCCATTCCTGAGCACTGCCCTATTGGGCCTACAAACACTTACGGAAGAACCAAGGCTATTGTCGAAAACATAATCGAGGATTTTATCGGTGCGCAGCGCCAGAACTTGAAGAAGGCCGACAAGCCGTTTGAGCAATGGAATGGCGCTAACCTGCGGTACTTCAACCCGTGTGGTGCACACCCTACCGGTATTATGGGTGAGGATCCTCAAGGCGTACCATATAACCTATTGCCGTTGCTGGGCAAAGTTGCGACTGGTGATCGGCCGAAAATTCTAGTCTTCGGAGATGGTAAGCCAGGCTTGGTCCCAAAAATTTGATGATATGGAAGACACTAATAAAAATATTGCGTAGACTATTCATCCCGAGATGGAACTGCCATCCGCGACTACATCCACGTCGTCGATCTTGCAAAGGGTCATTTAGTTGCGTTAAACTATCTTCGTGAACACAAGCCCGGCGTCAAGGCATGGAACCTAGGTTCTGGCAGAGGTAGCACCGTTTTCGAGATCATCAAGGCATTCAGCAAGGTTGTCGGCCGCGACCTGCCATATGAGGTAGTACCACGAAGACAAGGCGATGTGCTAGATCTCACTGCCAACCCGACGCGGGCGAACCAGGAATTGCAGTGGAAGACAGAGCTCACCATGGAGAAGGCATGCGAGGATCTATGGAGATGGGTGTCGAACAACCCGAAGGGATACCGACAGGAGCCTCCAGCCGAACTACTAGCCGGCGTCAAGGGTAAGGCCTCTTGATACGTGAGTAGATAACTACTCCAAGTCGCATTATTGGTGAGAGTTGATTAGCAACTTAATTTGACTGGGCAATGCAATTTGATCCTTGCGCGTTTACCTATAGAATAGACGAGAGCTCCACCTTGATACCGAAACGCGAACCGCCTCCCGTCGACAGGTTAGGTGAATAATGTTAAAGAGTCGAGATAGTGATAGAAGTAAATCTACGTTAGTATTCAGATGAAGATTTTATGAGCGTTGCGCTCGAGCTGAGCCACTAGATGATGATAACATCAAGTTGTCATCGAACATGAATTGTGCACTCCTTTCCATCCAATCAAGGGTAACCCAGCTGTTTTCCGATTTGTCATACATGGTGAATTGTGCCTCGTCGTCTACGATATCCCTGCAGTTTCGTTTATCCAAGACTTCCAACTACAACCCAAGATATTCTGGTTACGTACCTCAACCCGATAGATAGAGTATGCATAGCCACTCTACGCTTTAAGCTACCCGTCTACCAAGACGCTTGTCTAGAAAGACGGTGTCGAATCAGCTGTTAAACCAACGTACTTGTGGTACTCGCTACCACCATGAGAAGGGTGATCAGTTGGGCAACATGAGTATAGTACGCAGCAAACTGCAGATGGTTACCACACGTAGTTACTAATAATTACTTATATTACTGCCTGGACGCGACGGCATCCCACATACTGCAGGTCGGCAGGCCGGTAAGCGAATCAGAGACCGAGGGATGCGTGGCAGTTCACAGCAGCACGAAGTTAGACGAGGTTAAACAAGGTTACTATTAGACGAGGTTAGATGGAGAAATGACGGAAATGTTTTCACAGCCACCATCTGTGGTATCTAAATCTCTACCTAAATCTCTACTTAAATCTCTACTTAATATAATGTACCTATAAGAACCTTGCCTGTAGCTTAGGCTCCACATGTTTCCCGCTCGTAGATCCACCCAAAACTCCCAAAACTCCCAAGACTCTCAAGACCCCTGGATGTGGCTTAAGCTCTTTTCTCTCCTGGACCCTGGCGTGTCTCATAACTTTCGAGGCGTAATGAAACATCTCATGTCTTTTCTTCTCTTTTACTCGTTACTCGTATCTTTTTATTCTTATTCAACATCACATTCGTTCTTATTATCACTCGTTTACCTCGTTCTTGGTAAACAGGAAATAATCAATTATCTGCATTGATTGAAGCATAGCGTTTTATTTTCGTTACTTACCTGGTAATTTTATTATCCGTCAGATCGTTGGCCACAATTTATCAACTGCCTTCATCCTTTTCCTTTAGTCCAAAATATAGCTACCAAAAGGCTATGAGATAGATATCTTCTAAATACCTACCTAAGATATCTTCTAAATTTACTGGGGTACATTTGCATTTATGACCAAGCTCGTAGCTTAATTCAACATTGACATCATCTGGGAGTAGTATTCTCCTATGTCTCCCTAAAAGAAGATTTTACTCGCTTAATGCTACGCGCCTGGTCTCATCTATAGCATGGAGCGCACATATATTCAGGAAAATAAGCAAGCGCGACTTCAAGCACTGGGCGAAGAATGGGGTATAACTAGTCAACCTCCTCCGTCACCCTTGCCGAGGCCTGATCAGCCGCCATCCTACCGGACAGATAACGATGAGTTTATAGCAGAAGAGTTACTTAAGAGACAGCGCATTAGCGAATCTCAAGGTCACCAGCCGAAGGGGAGTATCTCGCGTGCCTTCACAACAAAAAAGAAGACATGGGAATACCGAGAAATTTATAGCACCCTCGTGGCTCATATTACGAACCAAGGATCACCAGGCGTTGCCGAATGCCTAATACTCAAGTTAAATCTAGCTGGAGGGAACCTCAACTTGGCGCAGAAGAGTCGAACTAGTTTATTAAGCAGAAGAAAGAGTCTCGATCTAGCCGAACGCAGCCAAGTGCTCCAAATAGCCGTCAAGAATGGCCATTATGAAATGATCGAGGTTCTTTTGCCCTACGCTGATGCTTTAAGCTTAGATACCGCATTGCCAACTGCGATTCGTGGTGGAAACGCGGCGATTGTCGCACTTCTCATAAGATATGGCGCGAGTGTAGCTCAGACTGCCGACGGACAAGATGCATTTCGACAGGTATGCGCCATTGGTGGCCAGCCCGATCTAGTCGCGCTTATTCTGGGATCCGACGGACGGCCGTCATTGTCGTGGATGTCACAATCCATGGTTGAGGCAGCGAGGGTTGGGTGTCTGGGTACAGTAATGCACCTCGGCCAGTCAACAGCAGACGGTAATCACGATGGTGCCGCCGCGTTGAAAGCTGCCGTAGCTCTCGGCCGGAGAGATATCGTCCTCGCTATTGTTCTCGGTAATAAACCACCAGCCCAACCCGGTCTTAACGAGGCGTTTGACCAGCTCATGAGTCACCAAAACATCAATCCCAACGAAAAGATGGCCATGGCGGAGATTTTGTTGTGCGCCGGGGCGGAAGGTGATCTGGTATCGAAAGCCCTGGTACAATCGTGCGCCACTTACTTTCTCGAAATGGTGCATCTCTTGGTCTCTTATGGTGCATCAATCGAATATCAGGATGCGATCGCTGTTCGCAAAGCTGTCTCAAAGGGAAAAGTCGACTTGGTAGAGGTTATGTTAAGTGGGAAATCTAGATTCAGCTCTCATTATGCGTCAGAGTGCGTAGAGCTTTTGCCAAAAAAGTTGAGATTTGAAGAACGTCACTCTCTCCTTAATCTACTACTTCGTAAAGGTGCATCCGGGGCGCCCTTGGATGAGGCGCTAATCGACGCAGTAGAAGCCGGCGACGTCGAGGCGGTTAAAATACTTCTCACGCCGCTGTTTCCCGAAGGTAAAATCGTCGGGGCTAAAGATATTCGGAAAGGTCCGCGAAGCATGGTATTTGAGAGACATGAGATTGCGTCGACAGATCATAAAGGTGCCCTAGCGTTGCAGATCGCTGTGAAGAAAGGGGACGTAGCTATTGCGAACTTGATTCTTTCGAATAAGCCGCCTAATCCTGTTGCTCTCGCTCAGATCTTCCCTAGCGTGCGGAATCTACGCCCCCTTGAGCGGTATCAGACCTCGGAGTTATTTCTAAGAGCTGGACTTACTGGACCGTCGGTTCATTCGGCCCTCGAGAACGCCATAGACGAGCAACCACCGCACCGAGATGAGAAGCTCATCGCCCTTTTCCTTCGTTATAATGCAGATGTAAATTTTAACGAAGGTCACACTATTACGGCAGCTATTTCACAGAAGGATGTCCGACTCTTAGAACGATTGCTCAAAAGCAAGCCCACAATCCAGGTAGCAGCCAAGGCGATTCCTAGGGCTATGGAAGTCGATGAAGGCTCGATACGGTTTCAAATGATCAACATGCTCTTAGCAGCCGGTGCATCACAGGGGGGACCTGAAGTATCGGCAGCTGTCGAGGCAGCGATACAGATTGATCTGCCAGATAAACGACTGCTTAAAACATTACTGCAGCAAGGGAATGCGGATGTTAATGTTAATGAGGGGATAGCTGTAGAGCGTGCCGCGCTACATTCCGATCCGGAAATTCTAGGAATGATTCTATGTTTAGGGCAGCCCAATGCTAGTAGCCTAGAACGGGGTCTAAAGAGTATAGGAAATCTTCCAATGTCCACAGGTAAAACCGAAAAGCTAGATGTGATATTACGCCGAACGCAGTCGAAGGATACGGCCACCAAGCTGCTCTTACAAGAGGTGTTAGCTGTTTTAAAAGTACCTTCGCACGACCAAAATTTCTCTTCAATAAAAGTCCTACTAGCAAACGGTGCCGATATCAATGCTATGAATGCCGAGGCGTTGTGTCGAGCGGTGGCCGCGGCAAACATGCAACTGGTAGAGCTTTTATTCACAGCCACTCCAACCCCTACTTCGATGGCATTTGCTATGCCTCACGCCCTGCGCATTCGTGAATTGATGGATAGACTAACGTTCGCGCAAAAAATCCTAGAAGGCGGTATACCGGCAACTGAAGTGAATAGAGCTCTCGTCTTTGCCGTCAGTACTTATCCAGACGACATACCGCTCATCAATACTCTCTTAGCCCGTGCAGATACTCGAGACGGCCTGGCTTTGATCGAAGCTGTCAAGGGAGAAAAGTAGGACGTCGTAGAGCTGATTCTAGGCAAGAAGACTTTCCCCGTTGAGATTCTCAACACAAGTTTTGCCCAGGCAACGAGAGGCAAAAACAAAAGATCGAGAAGCATGTCGTCTATCAGTTTACTAAAAGCTGGCGCATCGGGAGAAGTAGTATCGGATGCGCTATTAGCAGCCGCTTCCGATGGCGACGTAGAGTTCGGTACCATTTTAGTACAGAATGGGGGCAGCGTAGAACATAAGGACGGCCAGGCCATCATAGAAGCTTGCAAGGCAGGGGCAGTCGACGTCCTCGCAATGCTGCTAGCAGGCGAATCAAGAGTCGCCCAAAAAACGTTGCAGAGAGGATTTCAAGCCGCTACGCAAGTAGGAGACTTGAAGAAGCGAGCAGAGATATTCAAACTGCTCTTGCAAGTGGGAGTCTCTGGAGAAGTAGTCGACGCTCAACTCGTATCAGCTGGGAGGTATGGAGACGACGGGAAAGATCTCGTCCGACTTCTGCTAGTGTACGGGGCGAGTCCTGATTACAATGATGGAGAGGCTGTCGAAAAAGCAGCGAGGAGCGCCTTTTTGGGTAGCTTGGAGATGCTATTAGGCATTGTTGAGGTCGGTGGGCGTCAGAAACGACCATCTTCTCACACTTTGGTCCGCGCGATGGATGCTTGCTGGGACCTAAGCAGAGACACGAGATTTGCCATTATGAATTGGGTTTTCCAAGCAGGAAGGCCGGTTCCCAGCGCTCTTCATTCTTCTCTGAACCGTGCTGTCAATGAGGAAGATCCTGACGAGAGACTTATCGAGCTTCTTGTAAACCACCGTGCCTCTGCTACCGCAGATGGTTGCCAGACTTTAATTGACGCGACTACAACGCTATCTCCATCAGCATTTTCCAAGCTCTTAGATACTCAAATCACTGTCGAGGACACCTCCTTAGTGTTCAGTAGGGCATTTGCGCCCGATCGTGTTTCGTCGTGGTTATCTGGTCGGGGCTACGAGGTTGCCAAATGCCTACTAGAGAAAGGTGCTATCGGCGATGGAGTTGGATCAGCATTTGCCACAGTACTTGGGTTATACATCGAAACACATGCGCAGTTAGCAAACGACTTTGTGGATTTGCTCCTCAAACACGGCGCCGACGTCAACTACAACCACGGAGAGGCGTTGCAGAATGCAGCTGCGCAAGGAGATCCCAATCTTCTTAAAAGACTCCTACGCGAGAATCCCAACCCCCAAGCGCTAACGTTTGCGTTACCTCGCGTATTCGACGCTTCCGCATCTGAAGATGACATATATGATCTTATCACACTATTCGTCGAATACGGTGATGGACAAAACCGGATGGATGTCGCGTTCATCCAAACTGGTTCGGAGCCTATACTCGTCAAAGCTCTAAACCAGTTCCCACGATCTACGAAGATTCTCGGGGCATTACTAGATGCCGGGTTCTATCATGACCAACTGACAACGTGCAGAGTAATGCAGGAGATAGAGGAAGAAGAGACTGTTACTCTGCTCATGTGGGCCCTTATTCAACCTCAGAAGAAAATCAGTAGCGGAGTTATCAATTTACTGATCGAGAGGGGTGCTAAAGTTAATTTTGAAGCTCCCATCTCTCGTGTTACTCCTCTTATGCTAGCCATACAATACCGTCGGCAAGATATTGTGAAGTCTCTACTGCTGGCGGATGCTGAAGTTGACGTGACAGATGCGACAGGGAAATCCCCCTTGTCTATGGCATCTTCTATCGGCGGTGACTTGGCTATCACCATAATGTCTAATTTGCTAGCGGCAGGTGCTTCGAGAAATGATGGCTCACTTCACAATGCAGCACGAGAGCTTAACCTGCAAGCCATGCAAGTATTGGTCGAATATAGACATGACCCTGACTTTCCCAGCCCTCTGCATGGTGGACGGAGTGCACTTGGAGAGCTATGCCTACACGCCGCTGACTTCAGCGAGATGACGCCTCGCCGAGAAAAAGCGATGGAAAAGGCGATAAATTTCCTCCTCCAGAGCGAATCCGATATCACGCTACAATCTGATGGGAAATCCGTCCTCCTTTTAGCTCTCGAATCAACTGACCCCTTGACCACAACGAAAATCCTGCTACGGGCCGACATGTGGAGATACATTAATAAACCATTCAACTACTTTAATGATGGCAAATTCACCTACTCTCCCACTATGTATGTTCAGCGCGTGTTACCAGATTCGGATCACAAGTCACAGCTCTTAGCACTGCTAAAAGCAAACCGGGGGACTGATGTATACTATTCCAACTCCGGTCCGCAGCCTGACGATGCTATCGGCATGCCGACTAATATCCAACTCGAAGAACAGGAACGTAAGGCGCGATTAGTCCGTCTTCAAAAGGAAAACGAGGATCACACGCTCGCGATTCAGCGGAATAAAGAGTTAGCGGCAGTGCAAGCGCAAATCTGGGCTAACCAAGCAGAGCTAGAAGAGGTGCGCAAAAAACGGGCGCACAGCGCAGACCTATCAGCTATACAGGACCGCGCGCGCGTCGAAGAAGAACTATTCAACAGCACAATGCGACAGCAACGCGCACGCCACGTAGCCGAGGTCAAGCATCAAGAGGCACTGACACACGCCGGGTTAACACGGGCGCAGGCTCTCGCCGACGCGGAGCTTGCCGTTGAAGCACAGAAGCAAAGCCGTATGCTCCAGTGGGAGCGTGACGTGGGCAGCGAACGCGTTGGCAACGCAAACCAGCTAAGCAGCATAAGACTCCGGGAGAGGGAGGAATTAGAGCGCCTAGACCAGGTAGCAGATGCAAGACTCAAGAATAGAATACAGGAGCAACGGAAATTAGTTGATAGCCAGAGTACATTAGCTGCGAATATAGCAGGCGCAGGACCCAGAGCGCAGAGGCAGATTGGGTATGTGAGTGGTGAGTTAGATTAATAGGGACATAACCTAATATAGGTATATCCATGGACTGGCTTAGATACCTTTGAGGAGGTTGTAGCAAATCATGCAGTTTTTGGCATCGACGGCGTAAGGATTATTCGATTAGAAATTAGAAACCCGAGTTTTTATATACTTGGAATATTAATAGTAGCTGAAGATAATGGATAATGCTACGGATGAAGTTTATGAAGTTTATAAGTTCCCAAGATGTTGGGAATTCCATCCCGTTAAGCCTTAAGCCTCGGACTTCCGACTAAGACCGAGTAGAATCCGACGCCATTAACTTTATAACCTAACCGGGTAGCATCTTATAAAGCCGTTACACACTCGGAGTATCAATATGCGAGTTGTGTGACTCCGAAATCTCGCAAACGAGTCTAGGTTAGATATGTTGATATTATTTCCTTTCTCCCATTTACAAGTTTCCCACCTTCGTTTCGCAAAATACTTACCTTAACATATTTTTCTTTTCTTCCTTAACTATTCGATCTCTACTTAGCTTCCTAGACTACATTTGCATTCGGATGGGGAAAAAAAGGTTGATCATTTAGTATACCCGTGCAAATAAAATAACCACCCCCAGAACATATCCTTTAGACGCCTTCCCTTAACTTAAAATTCACCCGCCGCAATTAAGCTACCATGCCACTTTCTACATCCGTGCTGCTCCGCGGCATATTCCGGCAGCGCCTAGAGCACCTGCGCGTCGGACGTCTACCACGCTCAACGCCCCGGCGCTTCCAGTCCAGCACTCCCGGTCCGAAGCCCGGCAACGGAGGCGAGGCCGCGAAACAAAAACCGCCAACCGGGGATCCGATCCCGGTGGGTAGCACACCAGTTCCTCCCGTACCCCTGTGGCAGAGACTCGGCCCCCTGACACGCGCCGGCGAAGCTTACGGTCGTGCTCAGCGGAAAAGACCCTGGGCTACGCAGATCGTCTCCGCGCTTGTTATTTATCTGGCTGCCGATGTTAGTGCGCAGCGTATAGGTGGCAAGGACTACGTGCCGGAACGTAGTGCTAGGAATATGGCTATTGGCGGCGTAGCTGCTGTGCCGACCTTTCTGTGGTGAGTCGTATTCATTTTTCTTATCCTCCCCTTTCGGTTGGTCGTGGATCTAGATCGTTATTACCCTATGTCTCGAGGTATATATTGAACAGTGGGCAATACATGTGCATCATCGGTGCCTTCCTGGGTACCTAATACGTGATATAACGAAGCCAAACATCAGAACTAACGCAGTTGTCTAGGTTCGTCTGGCTTTCCCGCCACTTCAACTACCCATCCCACATCCTCTCGCTCGGCGTCAAGATCGTCGTCAACCAGCTCGTCTTCACGCCCACCTTCAACAGCTACTTCTTCGGCGCCCAGGCGCTGCTATCCGGGGACTCTATCGCCGAGACCTGGGATCGGATCCGCCGCACCGTCCCTGTCAGCTGGGTCAACGCCTGGAAGCTGTGGCCTGCCGTTACCGCCTTCACCTTCACGTTCGTCCCCGTCGAGTACCGCAGCGTCGTTTCGGGCGTCGTTGCCGTCGGCTGGCAGACTTACCTGAGCTACTTGAACCGCCAGGCGGAGATCGAGGAGGAATTGGCTCATGCAAGGATGGTGGCTGCTTTGCCGGCTGTTGAGGCGACGTCTGCGTCCTTGCAGCTTGATGCCCGGAAACCCCGGATTACTGCGTGAATTCAAGCTTCGTTTCTTTGTGGATTTCCTATGGAATTACGGGGTTAGGGGGGAGATAGACTAGACTTGTGGTTGGCGTTGGAGCGTGCACGGCCTAATATTAACAAAATAGTTGGTAGTAAGTGCGGGGGTGAATTGGCATTCATGTTAATCGGTTAATAGAAGCTTCCTTGATATTGGCATATCTTCTTTTCGTTACTAGATTTGCTGTTAGAGGGTGTTATGATAGTCTGGTGGTCTGGTAGGGCTAGGATTATCAAGGTCGGTTATAAAATGTCTATATTAAAAACTAAGAGAGGAGGGCAGGAGGAGGGGGGGCTACTACGAATTATTTGATCAAGCTAGTATCTCGAACTCACGTTGTAGATTTACTATAATTAGGTACCTTAT